TTCGTAGCCATAATTGAAACAGGATTCGACAACGCCTTCCCCGAAACATCATGTCGGGAGGTGCCCTCGGGGCAGCTTTGGCAAGGGCGTGGATGCAGCCAGGCTTGGCCTTCCACTGGTCCTGGGCCAACTTGTCAAAAATCTTGCGGCCCTCGACCATGGCCTTGCACGAAGCCCTGCAATAGAAAAATTGAGCACGCTGCCTGAAATCTGGCCAGTCAGAATCAGGGGCCAGATCGACATGCGCCAGCGACTCCAGAATCCCACGAACATCCGACGCCAGCGCACCGAGCATCAAGGAATCGGGATCCAAGGCCTCGCCAGAAACCTTGAAAAAGGAGCTGCGGACACTGATGCTGCTGGTTAGCATCGCTGCCGTTCTCCATCAAAGCAGAATGCCGAAACAAAAGCGTGGTCAGGCCCCCCCCCCCCACCACCACCACTCAGCTTCACCACTTTTCACGCGGGCCCGTCCCGGACTGGATCTAGCTTTCACCCACGCGAGCTTCGCGCCAATGGACCGACCCAAGTACGGGCCCCGATCGGCCCCAGGGGCCTCCGACGCGCCCAGCATGGCTTTCTCAACCGACGAAATCCATCGGTCCTCAGCCTCCTGGTCCACAGGTGGACTGGCCTCGTCAAAAGCTTGACGAAGGTCCTCGGGGAGCCTCTCGCGGCGTTGAATTATGATCGGCCCCTTGCGCAATGAAGACTTAGATGCTGGATCAGGGCGACGCTTCGGCCGAGCAACATGGGGCAGAACTTTCGGCGCTCGAAACCTCAGCCCCCGCAACTTTGACCGTTAACTTCAATCCACAGCGGGTCTTCCACGGCGCCTGAAGTTCAGGCCCCAGGCTCGCAAAATCGCTGATGCCCTTGGAAGTCAGCGCGTAATCGATGGGCGCCCCTGAGCCCCGATCACAAGTCACCTTGCATGGTGGCATCAGGCAACCAGCCTCCAGTAGGTCTGGGTTGCACGTCTTCAATAACTCTTCGGGCGCATGATTCCAATACGCCGCGGAGAGACTGCGCACGAAACCCACCAAAGGACGAAGAGTGCCCCTGTTAGGCCCACGAGCGCCATGTTTGGGCCATGAATGCAAAGATAGCAAGACCAGGCTCCTGCGCGAAAGGTGCCGCACCACTGCTGTGCAACCGACCGCAGGGGACTTCCCTCCTTTGGTACCTAGAGCTAAGTGGGCGAATGAAGTAGCAGCAGCATGAGAGCGAACCAGAATAGCTTCGCCCCCAGAACTGCCTCCAATCGAACGGCCCGACGGTCGAGCTGGAGTGCTTATCATGCGCCACTTGTCCTTGCTCAACTGCCGACGAAACTCACCGTCGCGACCAGGGGGCAAGCGCACCCCGCAAAACATCAAAATATTGAACCGCCCCCGAGACGCCGCGCACCGATGTGCTTGAGGGCCCCACTCCGTGATGTTCGCGAACAAACCTGACAAACCCATATGAGCTTGCCCTTGCCGCTCAGAGATAGAGGGAGCCGCCGCAGGCGAAGGGGGCCATGGCACTGCAGTCGGGCTGCGACGCTCCGCATTCTGATCGAACGTAGAAGACTTGGTGTACGCAGGTAAACCGTAGAACTTGTCCGAGCCACTAGTAGCAGCACGAACCTTGCACTGATGACCCGACCCAGGGGCTGCGCAATCAGGCTTTAATACCACCAGCCCTCTGGGCGTCGGTGGTTCAGGCGGAGGACTTCGACGCGATTACTATGCGCAGCGTCGCGGCGACTGCAATCTTCCCTTCCGGGAGGGGTTTTACCCCTCCCCCTAGGGTATGGTTGCGATCGCCGGTCCCCGCTGACCTGGACAGGGGGGGGCGGGAGCGGATCAGAGCGTCCAAAACAGCCTCGGCGAAGAAAGCCGCATCAATGATTTTAGTTTTTACGAAGGTTTGAGCCCCATGTTGGCCCTCTGGGGAGGGGGGGGTGGGGCGGGGAGGGGGGGGGGTGGGGGGGGGGGGGGGGGGGAGGGGGGGGGGGGGGGGGGGGGTGGGGAAAGGGTGGGGGGGGGGGAATAAGGGGGGGGGGGGGTGGGGACCCTAATTCAAGCTCCGCTCTTCTTTGATAATTTCTACTAGGGCCCCCTCCAAGATGGCACAAAGAAGTGCCCAGGAGGCCCCAAGAGGTCCCAAGATGGCCCCAAGATGGCCCCAAGAGGCCCCCAAGATGCCCCCAGAAGGCCCCCAAGAAGACCCTCAGAGGCCCCAAGAGCCCCCCCTCCCCCCCCCCCCGAGGCACCCAAGACCCCGAAGAGCCCCCCAGGATCGCCAAGAGACCCCCAAGACGTCCCAAGAGGCCCCCACGAATCGCCCAAGAGATACTCCAAGAGGCTCCTAGAGGCATCCAAGAGACCTCTGGCCCTTGTGCTTGCCCTCCTCCTCCTCCTCCTGTTCCTCCTTCCTGCTCCTACTGCTTCTCTTCCTCCTCCTCCTCCTCCTCCTCCTCCGCCTCCTCCTCATCCTATTCATCCTCCGTCTTCCCACTCCCTCATCCATCCATCCATCCACCTCCTCCTTCTCCTCCTCACTCCTTTGCATGGTTCGGCCGTCCTCCTCTTTGCTGCCGCACTTCCCTGATCACCTCAACTCGCCTGGACATCGTTTCGGGGTGGGCTGGCGGGGATAGGCGAAGCGTCTAGAATTCATCTTCCAACTCAACAAGCGGATCATGGTCATACTCATCAAGGCGTGAACATCTGGCTTCAATCTCTGCCACGGCTGGCCCCCCTGCGTCACCCTTCGCACCTCGCAACTCAGCTCCAGCCTCCTCTTGCTGCGCCTCAGGCACCAGCGAGCCGCCTGAGAGAAGAACTGGATCCGATGGGGCCCAGGTCAGCAGGGGCTGCGAGCCGCCACGGCCATAAACCTTGTCGAATCTTTGGGGGGGGGGGGGGGGGGGGGGGGGGGGGGGGGGGGGGGGGGGGTGGGGGGGGGGGGGGGGGGGGGGAGGGGGGGGGGGGGGGGAGGAGAGGGGGAGGAGGGAAAGAAAAGGGGGGGGAAAGGGGAAGGGGGGAGAGAGGAGGGGAGGGAAGGAAGGAGGGGGAGGGGGCGGGGGGGGGGGAGGGGGGAAAAAAAAAAAAGAAGGAGGGGGAGGGGGGGGAAAGAAGGGAAAAGAGGGAAGGGGGAGAGGAGGAAGGGAGGAGGAGGGGGGAGGGGGGGGGGGGGGGCACGCACCAACACTTGGCAGCGGGGGCTCGGCCCGCAAGAAACCTCCGCAAGAAACCCAACCCTGAAAGCTGCGATCTGTTCCAGGAAAACCCAAATATGTCGGTCGAAACTCATCCAGATCTCAAATTGGGGCCCGATCGAAGTCCAAGAAACCCAGGGCACCCTGGCAAAATCCAATTGGATTTCTTGGCACTCGCCCCCACTGTAAGGCCCGTGGCCACCCGCATGGGCGCTTCGGGCCACTCCCCCCCCCCCCCATGGCACGTCACCGCAGCTGCTCTCACCGTCCGAGCCCTTGTCAGAGACCAGGCCGCCGAGCACGAGCAGCAATGTGAGCAGCCAGACCAGCATCACTCTGCAACTGCGGCAACAGTGACTTGGCTGAATATTTGAGAATCGCCTTCTTTGGCTGCTCCTTGGGCTGTTGACTGCCTACCAGACCACCCCAACCCAACCCGAATACCCGAATTTCGGGTTGGGAGGGACGGGTTTCATATGTGTTTTCACAACATTCCCGGACCCCCCCCACACCGGAAATGGAGGGCAAATTGGAGCCTGCGGGTTGGGTTGGGGTGGTTTGGTGGGCGGTGAGCTGTGTAGCTGTGGAAGCAGCAGCAGCCGATGACGCAGCCACCCCTTGACCATCGTTAGCCTTGCGATTCTTAGCATACCGTTTTGCTTCATCAGCTGCTTCGTTGCGAGGAGCGTCAGCCTTGTCCAGAGCATCACCGAACAGCTCCTTCGCACTCCGCTTGAAATGATCAGCCAATGCAGCGTGCCTCTTGGTAAATTCACGTTCTTCATCGGGGTTGAGTTCATGGTCTTCGCTGTTGCCCAGGAGTGTGGACAAATCGAGCCGATCGGATAGATCAAAATAATCATCCACGAGAGCTCGCAATTCGACCTTCGGCTGCTGAACAACAGGAGACCCAGCAGGTCGAACTTCAGCCAACGTAGGCTGGAAAAGCTCGGGCTCGATCTGCAGCTCGGCACGCAAGTCGGCCACGAGCTTAGCTTGGTCCTCCAAGCTGCCGACCCACTTCTGGTACGTATGGTATTCTGCTTCAGGACGCTTCTCGAGCTTGTGCACTTTCGCCTCAATCTGCTGCAACCGCTGCGAAAATGGCACAACAGGCTCGGCCTTCGGAGTCTTGGCCGCCACGATAGACTTCTAGCGGCGCTCGCCCTCCACGTCACCGCACCCCGAGCACAGGCGAGCCAACCCCTCGGCCTTCTCAACAGAAACAGCTGGCACAGGCCCTGGTGCGTGAGGCGGCTGGCCGCCGCCTCCCTCCACGGGAGGATCGGGCACACGTTGGCCAAGCTTGGGCCACTCTGCCGCGGCACGCCCTCCACCCCCCTCCAAGGCAAGCTCATCGCCGACGTCCCCATTTGGCTGAGAAAGGGCCCGCCCGCAATGCTTGCAGAACAGGGCCCCCTTCGTATTACGCTTACAACCGCACTTCGGATTTTGACACTTGACGGCCCCTCCTGCGCCCACAGAGTACCATTGAGAGCTGTCCCAATCACCATGAGAAGCGCTGTGAGACCATTTCGGGCCGAACTTGACCCACGGATTGTAGACCCAACCATGGTTTTTCCCCATGAAGGCCCACGAGAGACTGAAAGCTGGTTAGAACGAACAGACAGAGCCAGATTGACTCGATACTGCACTGTGCCGTTCTGAAGTTAGCAGTATCAAGCACAAAGACTTGTGTGCCAGAACGGCTTGAGCCAAAATGGCTACGGAAGGAGGAGGAGGAGGAGGAGCACGGGTCGCATAAGCCCTTCGGAGAAACCCTCCAGTCCGCCTCCAACAAGCGGCCACATGCCGTTCTGTCGTTACTCCTCGTCGCAGCGAGGAAAGTGGCAACGTTCTGGTAAGAGGCGACCTGGGCCTGGCTCAAGATGTCGGCCTGCCTATCCAGGCTCGCGATGACCACCTCGTCCTCTGCGGGATTCACGCACTGTGTTACGACGAAGCACGCCATGAATGCCATGGCATTGGTGATCACGCGAGCCGCGAAGGGGACACCAGGGTACATCTTCAATACACCCGCATACCTGAACATCGCCCTTGTGAAGAAGGCCGCGAAGACGAAGTGGGCCGCCCTTGCGTACTTGAAGAGGAAACCAAACCCGTCCAAATTCGTGTTAGCCTGTCGCCTGACCTCTACCCCGGCGAACAGCGAGAGCGCGAGCCCGACGGGCAAGATGGCGAATCTGACAGCCGCCACTTCCACCGAGAGCTCGTTTCCGACGGGCACTACCTCCAAAAGCGGGCGCACCAGCAGAAGCAGGAGGGCCGCGAGGCAGCCGAAGAAGACGACGAGGCAGTCGTGGGGGTCGCGGGCGGGCGGGTCGTTGGGTGGACTAAGTGCGTCGGGCTCCTGGGTGCTGTCCAAGAGGGGCTTCGTGCTGCTCCCCATCTCCGTCTCCACCTCGAAGCGGAGGGGCAGGAGGACAGGGAGGGGGAGGATCAAGGGGCCCAGGGGCACACAAATAGATAATCAGAAATTCAAGGATTCCCCCATTCTTCCCTAGTCCCACCAGCCCTCTGGGCGTAGGTAGGTGGTCCAGGGAGGCTCATCTTCCAACCCCCTTCTTCCCATTCGGGGAGAGTTTTACCACTGTTCCCTATCAATATACACCCCTCCCCCAGGCGACCAGCGGCCAATGAGGAACCATGATGGCCCCCCCCCATCATCCCTGTCAAAAAACAATACAACACGCACTTTGCCTCCACATTTGGAGCATGCGCGGCCAACCCGATGCGCCCCCCCACTCCCTGTCAAAAACAATGCAATGTACACTGTGGGGCAAAGTCTTGAGTCATGTTCGTGAGGCCCGCGGGCACTTCGTATTGGTTTTGACAGGGACGGCGGGGCTGTCAGCATATTGCCTGCTGTGCGCAGGGCTACCACCCCTAATAACCAACAGTACAAAGTGCAGCTCGCGGCACAACCTGGATCATGCGCAGCCACCCCGCGATCACTGTCAGGTAGTTTTTTACAGGGACGGCGCGGGTGGTGACGTATAGCCTGCTGCGCAGGCCCACCAGACACAAGAAAGGGCATTGCCGTTCGACAAGGATGGTGGGGGCCGACGTAGTTCCCGATGTGTGCTGTCACGTGCGCAGGCGCACCTGACACACGCTGCACGTGCCCCGAACGTGGTGCACCTGGCGCGGCTGGAGTATACAGCACAGCTGGCGCACGCGAAGCACGTGGTGCATCTGGCGCACCAGGCGTGCCTGGCACGCTGGGGCCCTAGGGGTGCCTGGCGCGCATGGCACGCGTGGCGCGCCTGGCACGCGTGGCGCACCTCGCCCCAGCGTTGCGCAGGAGGTGTCGGAGTTGGTTCCCAATAACTGCCCATCCAAAGACGACCGCTGAACTTGGTGAGGCTCGGGAGTTACTTATGCGTTGGGAGGGCGGTTGGGAGAGCGGTTGGGAGTGAGCTAGACGGCTTGCTATCTAGCGGGTGTCTTGACCTCTCCCCCTACCCCCTCCACTGGACATGGAAGAGAGGTTCGCGAACGTAAGATGGCCCAAGACGGCTCCTAGAGGGCCTCAGAGAGCCCAAGATGACCTCCAAGATGGCACAAGATAGCCCAAGATGCCTCAAGATGGCTCCCAAAATGCTCCAAGAGACTTCAAGACCGCTCACCGACGGTTCCAAGTGGCCCCGGAGCGTCTCACGGAGGCCGCCAAGAGGCTCACAACCTTCAAAAACAAGGAAATTCATTTCAATATGCCTTCTCGCCGTTTTGCTTTCTATGGAATCCCGAGGCCTCAAGACAACTCCAAGAGAGCTCCAGAAGGCCCTAAGAGAGGCCTGAGAGAGCCGCGAGATGGCCCCAAGAGCGCCCAAGAGCGCCCCAAGAGCGCTCCAAAAGGGGTCCAAGAGACGAGTCTAGGCACTCTAGAGGGGCAAGGCTAATTGAAGCTCCTCCCTTCTTTATCCGATGTCCTCCAAGATGGCTCCAAGAGCGTCCCCAAGCCTCCCAAGAGCGCCCCAAGAGGGCCCAACGAGGCGCCAAGGAGGCCCTAAGAGGCGCCCAAGAGGCCTCCAAGAGGCTCCCAAGAGACTCCCGAGAGGCCCCAAGAGGCTCCCCGAGGTACGCAGGAGGACCCCGGGACCGACAAGAGGCCCCCAAAACGCCCCAAAAACCCCCCAACCTCGCCATTGTCCTCCTCCTCCTCCTCCTCCTCCTCCTCCTCCTCCTCCTCCTCCTCCTCCTCCTCCTCCTCCTCCTCCTCCTCCTCCTCCTCCTCCTCCTCCTACACCTCCTCCTCCTCACCTCCTCCTCCACCTCCTCCTCCTCCGCCTCTTCCTCCTCCTTCTCCTCCTCCTCCTCCTCCTCCACCGCGGCTCCTCCTCCTCCTCCACCTCCTCCCCTCCTCCTCCTCCTCCTCCTCTTCTTCCTCCTCCTCCTCCTCCTCACCTCCTCCTCCTCCTCCTCCTCCTCACTCCCCCTCTTCATCCGCACATTTCTCCCCCGTCCCTCCCTCCCTCCTCCCCCTCTCCACCTCCTCCTCCTCCACCTCCTCCTCCTCCTCCACCTCCTCCTCTCCTCCTCCTCCTCCCCCCCCCCCTCCTCCTCCTCCTCCTCCTCCTCCTCCTCTCCTCGCCTTCTCCACTAATCCACCTCCTCCTCCTCCTTCTCCTCCTCCTCCTTCTCCTCCATCTCCTCCTCCTCCTCCTCCTCCTCCTCCTCCTTCTCCTCCTTTTCGTCCTCCCCCTCCTCCTCCTCTTCCTCATCCTCCTCCTCCTCCTCCTCCTCCTCCTCCGATGTCCTCCTCGTCCACCCCCTCCTCCTCTCCCTCATCCCCTCCTCGTCCGTCTTCCCCGCCTTTCCTCATTCGGCAGGTCCGCGAAGGCGCATACAGTTCGCTCGTGGGTCTGCGCAGGCTGATCCACGACTTCAATTTGATGGTTTCCTCAGCTCTTGATCCACTGCATGCTCCTCCGCTTCCCTGATCAAGGCAACTCGCCCAGGCATCGCCTGTGGACGGGCTGGTGGGAGGACTTGTTTTCCTATTTTTTTACAGCCGCAGGCGGAAGCGCCAGCGGCAGGCGGTCACGGTCGGGCTGCGGCCGCGACTAGGAGGCGGGCGCGCGCGGGGCCGCGGTCAGGCGGCGGGCAGCAGCGACCCAGGGCGTCTGAGCCAAGGCGTGCAAATCCAGGGAGTCTGCATGGCAGCCCCTGAAAGGAACATGCAACGGCGCATCCAGGGAGTCTGAACACAGGCACCGAGGAAGCAGAGCGCATCCAAAATGGAGCGTAAGCGTTCCCAACCGTTCGAATCGAACGGGTAGGAAACGGTCCCGAGCGAGACGTCAATCCAGGGAGTCTGACGGGTAGCACAGACTGACTGGTGACACGGTCCAGCGGGGAAACTCTGACGGCGGAGGCAACCATCGCGACGTCAGAACACGCATCCAGGGTGTGGAAACAGAGTAGCCGGAGATAGAACCTTCCACAACTGAGATGCGCCAGAGCCCTTGAACCAGCGACTGGTAAGAGCAAAGCAACGTGCACAAAGCCACACAGCAGGAGCACGCGATGGCTGAAGTGCACGACCAAAGTGACTCAGCGCCACACATACGCGTGTAGGGTAGCACCCGAGGGACGGGACCGTCGTATACCCAAAACGCTTCCCTCAGAGTCACTTCGTTCCAGGGTCACGGCTGAAGGCCGTTAAACGGTTGCGAAGTCCAGGGGGTGACGAATCTATGGGCGGGCGAGACCGCCAGGGCCCACAGACGCGTGCCAGGCCGCGCCTAGCAGGTGAAAACATCTACAGTAAGGCTGGAGGCCACAGGTCCACTAGCGGGGTGAGCTGAGTGGACGGTATTACCGACACGTACACCTGAATCCAAAGGCAGGAGGCGCGCGCGTCGGGGGGGAGGGCGGCGGAACGCCGCAGGTGAGCGGAGTCCGCAGCGCGGCTCAAGGCTGCGCCAGGGGGAACTCCAGGGTGAAACGCAGCCAGAGTGAACAACAACGTGATGCCTACGGCTAGGATTCAGCGGCCACTGGTAAGAGTAAGGGCAGCGGGGCCAGGGGCCGGCTAGGGTCTGCAAGCTGCGCACTGTCACGCAGGGGTGCAGATAGTATTACTGAGCGGCACACCATGGTCCAAAGGTAAGAAGGGCGCCGTCCAGGGGGGGGGGGGGGCAGTCGGGCTGCCCCGCAGTTGGAGAGGAAGAAAGCGACTGAAGGCCGCGCGCAGTGCGTGGTGAGGTAGTCGTGGCGGCGCATGGCGCTGGGATGGGAGCGAGCTCAGTCCCCCCATCGGAGCCTCTTTTCGTCTCTATCGTCTCGATCGTCGGGGCGGCCTCCGCCGCGTTTGCCGCCCGTCTGCCAGCGATCTTCGCGCCATCCATCGCTCCGCTCGCCCTGCCAGCTGCCCCAGGTGCCCCAGGAGCTTGTCGCGCGGTCACGCCAGCTGGTCTGCCGGTAGCTGCCTTCGCCCCTGCCGTCGGTACGGGAGTGTCGCAGGTAGTCGGCTCGTAGCCTGTCCCAGTCAATGCCGTAGCCCAGCCTCGCGTTCATCTGGTAGGCGTCGCACCCGCAGTCCTTCCAGTCATCCAGAAACTTATTGATGGACGCGGCCGCGTGCAATTTCGGGTCGGATTTGGGCGCCCTGGATCCAGGGAGCCAAGTACGTTGCGCGCGCGCGGCCCACAGCGCGCAGAAGACTACGCCCAACTCCGACTGATGTCTGGCCATGCGTCTGGCGGGTGTCTCGTTAGGACGTTCCAGGTCCACCGTGCCCAGCCAGACTTTGTACATGTGGCCACCCCCCTCCGGACAGGTCAACAGATTGAGCGCATCCTGCTCCGATGTGCCTGCATGGCGAGGGTGATAGTGCCTCTGTCCAGGGAGCTGGGGGGTGGGCGCGGGAGAGCGCTCGTTCCGCGCGCCGCCTCGGTCGCGGGCTCTCTCGTCCACCGCGGATCCCCGGGCCGGGTCTCTACTGTGGTCGGCGTTGGGCGCGTCGTCCCCGGCCGAGGTCGGAACTTCCTCGCGGCTGGAGTCAGAGCTGTCCGCCGATGGGCTTTGCTGAGGCGCCTTGTCAAGTCCGAGGCCGAGTCCGAGTCCGAGGCCGAGTCCGAGCAAGCAAAGGGAGGAGGGGGATCGCCTTCTCCGAAGTCGGGAGACTCCACCTTTGTGGGGGGGACCCCGTCTTCCACGCTCTCGTCGTTGCCGTTGCGGTCGGGCGGGTCCTGGTGGCCCATACGGGAGTCGTTGTCCCTCGTGCCCTGGGACTTGTCTGCGTCGGCAGCCGTGGGAGTGTCTGGTCTGCCGCCGCGCGTGACCAGCACGCCTGGCGGGGGAGACTCAGCCAAGGAGGTGATGGATGCGGAGGCGAGGGCATCGGCACTGAGGCTGAGTAGGAAACTCGTCAGCGTGCTCATCTCATGTCGGATG